TTGCACAGATTTCACTTCAGACTCCCACTCTGCCTTCACAAGTCTAACCAGATTAAACATTAAAAATCTGTGGACTCCTCTTCGTTTCTTGTGATTCCCCAAAGGGTCCCAATTTAGGTCCTTAGATTAACTCTTTAGTGTAATTACAGCATGCCAGGAGTTGTTCGGGATAAGCATACCCATTAAAATTTTAAGCTAGGGTGGGATTAATAAATACAAATACTTACACCACAAAGAACTCACACTCAAATATTCCTTAGATAACTGACATTTAAAAAGAAGAAACACATTTGATAAGACACAATGGCTGTTATAATTAATGCATTCTGCCAAGCATCTGTTGATGACTTGAAGAACTCCAAGAGTAAAGTCTATTGTCTACGTCTGATCACAGCCCCAGTGGAGCATAAATCTTATTCTTCTGCAGATTTCTGTGTCCCTAGCCATTTATTTCCAATGTTTGCCCTACTGATTCTGTCAATCTTCAAGATTTAGGCCTGCTAGCTTCATTTTGCTAGAAAAAGAGGTTTAATTGAATATTGTAACAATATTGGACAGAACAAATAATGCATCACAAAAGCTACTGTATATCTCACCAAATCAGTCTTCCATATTTTTGATAATAATATGAATCTAATAATTGCTGTTGAGAAAGAGATACTTTGGAGCTTTCAAAGAACAATTTATTCAAACAACTCTCTAAAATTAGATGTATCCTATATTAAAACCTGATACTGGAATATGTCCTTGATGTTCTTGATGTGGATTCATGTCTCTATGAGGAAAATGCTAAGATATGAGATGCAGGAGCTGATGATGGACATGCCTGTACGTATTCTGCTTAAAGTAATGCACTTCTAAGCAATCCAAAAAGCAGAAATGAAAACATGCAGGTTTTCCCCTCACATTTTGTACAATTTAAATTTTTTTCCTATTCTCCGCATTTCTTTTAAAAATTTGCTTGCATAGGAGATAAGACTAAAGCTTAACCTCTAACCATGTTTTGCAAAAAGCTTTGGCAGTAGTGTCATTGGACTAGCCTATTATATATGCGTGTTTGAAATCTGTAAATAAGATAATGCACGCTTGGATTGTCTTAATGTAGCTATATTTATGAGCACAATATGGTCCAGAACCCAAATACATCTGTTTGGAGGAGGAGAAGAGAGAATGAGACCACAGGAATCAAAGAACCATTTAAGGGAGTTTCTAGAAATTGGTCACTTTCTTTCATTGATTCCACTTCATCAATGGACACAGTTTTCAGATCTCTTGAATGCAACAACAACAAAAATTTTACAAATAGTTTAAGACATTTAACAAAGATGAAGTACCGATTGCAATACTTTCTTTATTGCAACTTATTATTCCTTGAAAAATGACTTCTATGGAAAGTTTAATAGGGATTCAAGCCAAAAAAGATCCTTCAGAGCATTCAGGCCTGTTCAACTAACACTTGTCAGAACTCTTAAAAGAAGCAACAACAGTTCTCAATTTTGCAATGACTATTCACAGCTGTCCCACAACTAATGACAATATTGTCTGCAATAAAAATAATAGGCTAAATTAAGGAAAATACAGAACACAAGACACAAACAGAGCAACCATATTCATTTTATTCACATTAGAACTAGCAGTCTAGTATTGTTAAAGTACTGTATCATCCCATAAAAAAGGAACTTTGAAAAACAAGCATACATTTAAAAAGGAATATTCTTAAAATGGAATTAGAAGTCCACAAACTTGGTTTCAGCTTGGCAATCAGATAAATTGTAACATATGCAGAGTCGGAATCCATTTGAAGACATCCATTTTAAAATATATCAAAATTAACATTCATAAAAGATTCAAAGTCCTCATCTTACATCATCAGGTTTCAATTAAATAGAGAATTATGCGAGTAATAGACTCAAAAGTTAGAGAAAAGATTCAGGAGAAAAGAACAATAAATATAAAAAAAAAGAAGAAGAAGAAGAAGAAGATAAGAGAATGGGATAAAGGGAGAAAATTACTAAGAAGTGGAATTTTGGAGAGACCAAGAGAAAATGGTTAAAAGGGGAAGAATAGTGGAAAGGAGGAAGGGAAATAAGATATATATTAACTGTATACAGGAACTGTATTAACATTAGTAATTGTGAATGTAGGAAGCAAATATGATGATGTATATTGTTTACTGTAAAATGGAACAGCAGATGAAATATGAAGTGGTAATTTGGTTCAATTATGAAAATAACTAAAATCAAGAAACAAAATTGAAATGTTAAAAAGTGTGATGGGGATTTTGAAAAAAATATGTAAATGATGAAATAAAATAATTGATGCTATAACAAGAAATTAGGAATTAAGGGTGGATAGTGAAATTGCTTATTATGTGGAAGGTCAATTAAGTTAAAGGGTTTCAATGTAAGAATTTAATAAGATGAAGTACATTGTTTATAGCCAAAAGTGTGATGGGGATTTTGAGAAACGTATTTTATAAATAGAGAAATAAGATAATTAATTGAAGTAATGCTAAGAAATTAGGATTTGAAGGGCGGATGGTGAGATTTTATATATTATGTATTAAGAAGAGATTAAGATAAGATAAAAAAGTAGGAAAAAAAATATTATGGCAGAAATTGAAATGTGTAAATTGTATTTGGAAAAAACAAAAAAGAAGATTGGAATAGTTTATAAAAATTAATATATACAATTAATTAAAATTAATGTTATAAGTTGTATAAGATGTGACCCGATCAATACTCTGTTCATAAAATATGTATGAAAAAGAAAAATTTAATAAAACTTGTTTTAAAAAAAGTTTCAATTAAACCATGAGAACAATGAGGGAAAATGGTGGAAAAGAGAAATGGAACAATTTTCAATGTGAAGAAAATTCTCTTAGAAACATAAAGTCACTTAAACTAAAATAATACCACCAGTGGGTTTAAGACTGTTCTTAGGATCAGTCTTTTGTACATAAGTTTAATTCTCTATTGAGCACCAAAAAAAGGGAGATGAAACACTTTTGGCATACCTCTAAGAAAAATCAATATACTAGTAGGCACCATCAAGGCTTCACTTAGATACAGATAGTCCCTGAGTTAAGAATATCCGACTTAAGCTGAAACTTCACAATTCTTTCAGGAACCATGAAGCCACATGTTTTTAATATACAGCCTGTTTTCCTGAAAGCATTACACAAGTTCAAGTGGCTAGAGGAAGGACCATGCTGTCCACCATTTTTAGTAATTAGGCAATCTGTTTTTAAGTACATGTTCTGACTTAAATGCAAATTCAGGTTAAAGGCAAAGTTAAAGAATAAACTGTTCTTAACTAGGGACTGCCTGTGATATAAAATTAAATCTGTAAAAGTAAAGGACATTACTATATGAGTAAGCCCCTAATATAGGTTATGATGAATTATTTATTTATTTATTTTGAACAAAGAGCAATTCAGAAGCTATGTTATGACTTATATGGAAAACTGTTTATGGTTGTATAAAACTCATTAATTTCTTTCCATTCTTGCAGTTAGGCTTTTCTAAAACAGTGTTAATAGTTCAGAATGTTCTGCCAAAATTTTTATAAGTATTTGTATTTGGTATAAACACAGAAATGAAATGGATATGTATTTCTATTTTATGTAATTTATTCCACTTAAAATATATGTGTTGAATTTTATTTTTAAAAAGATGGAATACCGGAACAAATATAAGTTATTAAAATCAGAAGGGGTTTCAAGGTGGGCCTTTCATCATCAATAATTAAAAATGATCTCAGCTGCCCATAACTTCTCAGCCTTCTGACTAACATCAAGTGTAGTATCTCAGTTACTCTAGTTTTCTTGTTTTGGGCTTATTGAACGTATCATTTATCCATCTTTGAACTGACAGAGAAATATCAGTTTAAAAACTGCTGCCCCATTGCTGATTCTGTCCTGACATAATTATTTCCTGAATTACAATATTTATACACTATTAATTCTGCAAGGTGTTAAAAATCTCATGTAAAATCAATACAAACCGACCAATACAAATTGACCATCTACAGGACATGTTAAGTAAAGGGGCTGGTGGATTTCCCCAGCTGTTTTCTCTCATCATCTATTAACAGCTGGACAAAAAACATTCACTAATTAGACTCAGATTTTGTACAATCATTTTGCATGGGGGGTCCAAAAACAATCCATGAGGTGACAGACACGGGGATGGTGGTTATGGGGTAAAGCAATAGGAAACCCACTGTACTACAACTCTCCCAATGTCTATTGGACTACTAACAGCTAACAGGAACATGGAGTAGTTTTGAGGTATGGAAGGAATTTCCCTCCTGCTTCACAGCATAGTCTCTCACTCACCCATAGCATCCAACTGAGGAACTTTTGAATTTAGTCCAATTTAAACATATGGTTTCTCTCCCAACTCACAGACATGACACAGACACAGAGGGGCATGTCCGTAGCAAACAACAGTAGTCAACAAATGTTGGGCTGATTCAACCCCCTAGGACAGAATGGTTGATGAAGTATGTCAAATTGTATCTACAACTAAAAATATTTCAGGATAAGGAGAAAAACTTTAACATACGAACAGCTAATGCCCACTTAAAGTGCCTCAAGCGTGGGAAAGGGATCAAATGAGGGCTTATGGCATCAGAAAAGAGAAGAAGGGCATTCTTTAAATAATTAATCAGGTAAGAAAAGACCCCTAAAATAATTTCTGCATCTACAATACTCTGACAGTTGAAATGCAATCAACCAAGAATCGAGGACATAGTTTTTAGTGGAAGGGAATAATCAAAATCACTCTAGCTTAAATGCACCATTATCATGCAGTTAATTACAAAATACAGAATCCTACCCAATCCAAACTAAAGACAAGAACAACAGATGCAAATCTGTAGAAAAATCAGCTGGCTTGTTTCCTTTATTTTGTCTCTGATGATTCAATAATTAATTCAATAAAAAATAAAATAAAATGTAGGATAAAGCAACTGAGAGGAACACTTTTTTCATGTAGGATGTCATAGGTGAAATCACTAAGATGATCTGGTTATGATTTTTCACCAAAATCAGCATGACTTTGGACCAATCTCTGCCGATCACCCTATCTATGCCATGAAATGGTTGATGTGGAAAAAAAGTAAAAGGAACACTATGTATGCTGTGCTTTGAACTTCTGAATAAAAGGTGAGATGTACTTCTAAATCAAATAAGCAAATAGGCTGTATGAGCAACCTCATGTATCTACAAAGAGAATTAAGGCTATATAGTGCTAATTGAAAAGCAGGATCATTTATTACTAGTTTACATTACATATACTAGTAAAGGAATTATTCTGGGAGTTCCCAAACTAAATATACTAAGACCTCATACTTTTTATTTATCCAAGAGCACCATCCTGTTCTCATAAGTTGATGAGATAAGTTGACAATCCACCTATCAACTTTCAAATCGAGATTAAAAATTCCTGATGAAATAATTAATTCCCTGTGTTTGCTGGCAGGCCAAACCTTACTTTCATTGATTACAGCCTTCCCTGTCTTCCCTGAAACCCTCACCCTGAGATGTTTCTGGAAATTGAGGGTGCACTGAGAATAGTATCAAACTACAGGTGAAGAGGTTTGTTGTAAGAAATAGTCACCTTTAACATGAGTAAAAAAAATTAAGACGAAAGTCATGGTATTTAATTCTCAGACACTTTCAATGTCAAATGCTCAATATATAAACTTACTTATTTAAGGCGACTACAAAAACTAATTGTAGAAATTAAATTTTGAGATCTGCATCTACATCTTAACAAAAAATATTTTAAATATCTATTTGCACATTGATTTTCTATTCATTTCATTCTACTTACAGTGGCTGTTTCACCTTCTAATCAACCATCTTCAATGTTTAGCTATGAACATTTTCTTGTGAAAATGACCATGTAACTAAGCAGATATATTAGACACCATTTTAAGGCAAACAAGATTACCAAATATTCTTTATTACTAAGAATGAAACTGGGCATAGACTCAATAAAAGTTAATAAAATTCAATGCCTGATCATATGCATGCTTACTCATAAACACTGCCATTTGATAATTACTAAATAAATATATAAATGATTGCAGCATCATAACAATATACATTGCTAATATTGTATATTTACAATAATAGCTCCTAATACTTTGATAATTCAAAAAATAATTTCTCAGATAAAGTTACATTCTTTTCATGTTAGGAAATGGCATGCCCATCTTTTCTTCTTCAAACTCAACAACATAGATGAGCTGTAATTTATCTTAACTCTTAAGAAAGAAAGAAGCAAATATAAAATCAGTTTATCAAACAGGCTTGATTTCAACATGGTTAAATTAACCACAGCTAGTTTTATAATTTGGACAAAACAATTAAAAAATACTTCAAAATGGTATCCAGACCATAAGTCCCTAACTGATGATGTTCACATAGAAAACAAACAAGGCAATTGTTTTAGTATAGAGGGGTTGCCAACCCCTCAGGATAACTGAATGTCTGCATAACTGAATCTTGGGCAGTTACCCTGGTTCACACAAGTAGAAAGTTTAAGAACAACGATATAGTCAGTAATTACTTTACCAATCCAGGTAGCATGCTGATAATCTTACAAATATTAAAGAGCCCATTTGTGAACATGCCTCAATCCAATTTCTCAGAGATGCATGTTGGCACTACCATATGTACAAATCCTCCCTCTTTCATTTGGAACTGTACTGTGAATGTAATTCTGCTTACCCCATTAATAAACTACTGAAATAACACTCAGAAAATATCTCACACTTCAAAGAACTGACCCATGTCAAATGTGTGCAAGTCTTCCATATGAGATGTTCAATACACTTGTTTGGACTAACAAAAAAAGACTAGCTTTTCTCTGATGGCATGCCCATCTTTTCTTTTTCAAACTCAACAATGTCATCTGAACATAAATGAACTGTAATTCATCTTAACTCTTAAGAAAGAAAGAAGCAAATATAAAATCAGTTTATCAAACAGGCTTGATTTCACTAACATGGTTAAATTAACCACAGCTAGTTTTATAATTTGGACAAAACGATTAAAAAAATTAATTTAAGTTTTCTACTTTGCAGTTTGGGGGGGGGACAGAACAGGGAAGATTTACCTTGTTTTACTAATGCATTTGAATGAAATCAATGAGATTCTCATCTATAACATTAGAAATTAATTCTGTAAAAAACAAATTTTAAGTAAGCTAAAAGTCTGAAATCTAACAAAAATCTGTTTCAGCATGAAATAATTCCTCAAAATACAGAAAGCAGCTACTCAGGTATACTCAGGTCCTAAATTAATTATTTTATTTTTGGTTTCCATTCTGGTCACCTTCAAAAGATTATTTTAAGAAAACAATATTTTAAACCAGTCTGCTTTTTCTCTTATTTCTTTTTCTTTTTTGGCATAGTAACTTCAATAAAAGCATAAACTAGTAAATACAAAATGTATTAAAATGTACATAACAAATACTTTAAAAAAAGAGTAAAACACTTCAGCTGTTATAAGCTACCACACACAGTTAAATACAAACTGTACAATACAATGCACATTCAGATATACATCTATATTTGCTTTCAAAAGTCTATAACTTACTTTTCCATTCACAAATAAAATGCAAAGTCTCTCTCTCTCTCTTTATATATACATATATTTTTATATCACTATGTACACAATATATTGTGTTTTGGCGAGATGATACAAAACACAAAATTAATATAGATTAGAATTATTACAGTAAATACGAATTGAATGACAATACCATTTAAGCCATGTGAAAAGGACCCACAACGGTTCACACTTACTTTCTAATTCTTAACTCATTCATTATAAATACTGACTGTACATTCCATAACATAAAGTACTCAGTGTTATCATACAGGTTCCATAAAAATAATAACTAAAAATTCGGGCTGAATACAGTACAACAATGTTAACACTAGAAAGTTTTTTTTTAATGCTGTTGCATTAGAATTTCAAATCCATCAAAACAGCCAGCAGTCTCCAACAGCAAAAACACCAATAGGGAACTTTAACAATATAGTTACACTGAAGAAAACTATTGTAAAGATCCCATCCTATGGTTCACAGTTGTTGTAATAATTAATTGTGGGAAATTATCAGAATTTAAACATTTTGAATAAACATTCTGAAAAAGAATACAAAGCTTTAGAACAGCCACAGTAATTCAAATTTGTAATACATCATAAAAACAATAGATTTTACCCATTGTAAAAAAAAATACTTTCAAAGCCAAAACACTTTTGATTAATGACAGCATTGACCTATAATTCAGTATTATTCATTGTATTTTTAATTTAAAAAAACTATGAATAATATTGAACTTTATTAAACTTTTATTAAAGTTTGAAAATGTAAGAGTTAAGGAGGCTTACAAAGCGTTCACCCACATGGAATACACAAACATTCCCATATCAGTGTGTCTTCACAGCAGAAACTAGATTTTATACAGCAAAAGCATATAATTTCCTAACTTTTTGTATGTATGAAAAGCAGCAAGGAAGGATACATCTGCGCAGGAAAACAGCAAGGGAGGCCATTAACTCCTTTGCCCAGTCATTTTCACACTCAAGTTGCTTCTTTTCAGGTGTTCGTAATGGAAAGATACTGTGTTTGAAAAGGAAACCAGGCCCAATGGAAAGGATTAGGAATCTCATTTCCTAATCGAACCCTAATCCCAATGCTACTGGAAGATTCATAATAATTTAATGCCACATTAATTGGAGCTTTGCAGAACAGAAGCCACCGCCTCTAAGGACTGCTATTGTTGATTCATCTCTGTGGGTTACAGTAACTTAATCTGCTCTTAGCTTCTTTTGGGCTGTACAGTGGTTCAGTTCCCTGTTTTATTAAGCCATTTTGGAGGCAGTGATAGTTATTTAGGTCAGCAATGTAGCACAAATGACATTTTGTGCCTAGGTTCCCAATTCACTAACCCATCAATTATTTCATGGCTAGCAGGTAAATATGTTAGCTTAGGCTTTTATTTAAAAACATGTATTTATGAGATGATTTATGTAGAATTAAAGTCAAATAATTTTACATTTACTTTCTCCGTATATCAGCTCAAATACCTGCTTCTATTAACCAATGTACTATCTAATCTCCAAGCAGTCAAATTGTGTGCATATTTACAGGTTCAAGATCTGTGGCATTCTAAGGACTGGTACTCTGAGGTGTACCAAGCAGCAACAATTGGTCTATTTGATTAAATTTATTTAAGTGGTAACTTAAATTGCTGAACTGAAAAAGTGATTTGATAAATTCAGTATTTTTGAAAAATAATGTTTTTAAGATTTTTGTACCAATTGAAATACTATTAGACTGCTTTCTTTTCTACAATGAATTCTGGCAATGATTTTATACAGCAGACCTCTCATGAAATATTAAGGCCTTTTGTTAATGAGCTAAACACAGAAAACATTGCAAAACTTTGCAAGAGTATTACTGACGGAAATTTGGATGGCTTTTAAAAGTGTGCTTATAGAGAAATTAATAGAGTTTTATTTACATTTCAATGACAAAGCAAACTACGAAAATATACCCCTACTGTTCAATTTTAACAGAATGGGCTTAAATTGCCAGTAGGAACATATGACTTTGGCACTTCCAAAATCTGGATGCTTGGGACTTTCTTTTCCCGCCCAAGAAAATGTATAACTTGCTTATCTTCAGACAGAAATTAGCCTATCTCCTTGTAGTACAATACAGTAAGTGACCTATGATTTATTATTGTACACTTATGTCATAAAATCTATATTTAACATGCCAGCTACAGTTCAATGTAATATTGCAGCTCAGAGAAATTTGCAAATATTCTAGTGCATTGTTTTATGTTGAGCTGGCTGCACAATTTCTTGAATGTTTCATTTCTTTACCTTAGCAAAAATCATAGTAAAACTCAACTTGCTCTCAGAACAATGTTTCGCAGTCCTGAAGCTTTCCATGCTTAGTTTTTGATTCTTTCAAAATTTAAAAAATGTAGGTAGAATGATGCAGTATTTATTAGTAATATACTAAATCTGCTTGTTGTTTTTTAAAAAAATAACTTAGACATTTATCACAAACATCAAAATATGATGTTCTCATTTCAGGCAGTTTTGGTTTCTGTGGTGGGAGGTTTTTTTTTAGCTGCTATGGTTAGTTTATTCTTAAGTCATTTGTTTTGCTTAAAATATGTATGAACCTAAACACTGTAAGGCTTAATAATTTTTATGTGAATGGCACAAGTACTGTTTCAAGATGCAAGTATACAGTATATTGCAAGAATCAGGGTGGGGGGAGAAGTGTGTAGATATACCGAAATCTTAAAAAGAGTAAACCATTCATAGCTACATACCAATACTTGAATCTTAATATAAAAAGATACCATAAATGTAGAAGGTGTGACTGAAGTCAGAAGTTTCTCCAAAAGATTGTTAAAATATCACATTAAAAGAGACAAAGAACTTCAAGAAAACATCTAAGAAAAGCAAGCTGTGATACAACAAGCATTTGTTAAGAAAAGCTCAGAAGTGCATTAGTTCTGATGAGAGATATAGGAGCAACAGCTCTTACGAGATGTAGAGCCCATTCTGTAACTATGAGCTGTCCATATACTGTCATAGTCAGAGTCTTCAGAGAGGTCGGAAGGCTCCAAACGAGAAAGGCTACTGCGACGACCCAAGGAATCTAGACTGGATTGGTCATCATCAGCCAAGACGTGATTATGCATCAGGTCAGTGCCTTGCCATGCTAAGGATGTATAGGTGAAATGAAAGGGAGGATGGAGACAGGCAGAGGTGTGATGAGGAGGACGACATACAGGATAAGCCACAACCAAAACAGATGAAAATAAAAGCAAAAGGTGATGGGAAGAAAAGGAAAAGAGAAAATATTGTTAAAAAAGCACCAAATCTTTTAAATCCCTATTTTGGTTGGGTTTTATCTACAAAATATATTTGGCATATACATTTAAAGACAAAAAAAAAGGGAACTCTCTGAATTTGACTCTCTTGCTTAGAATGTGCATTTGCTTTCATGTTGCTTTTAATGTTCTAAGAAACCATGACTGTAACATGAAGGTTTTTTTAAAGTGGGGGAAACTATTACATTAGGGTTTTTTTTAAAGTCTTTTGAATCAATTCTTAAAGTTGGGCTAGATCATATTTCCAGAAGAAAAAAAATCTGCTCAAGAATGCCGGTATCAACTTCCCCCAACTTGCAACTTGAGACATTGGGAATACAATACATCTGGAGAATGTGCAGATTGAAAAAAAAAATACTGCCTACTAGCCATATTTAGTACATTTCCCCTTATAAGCCAATTTTGATCATAGCTTTCTTTATACATCTGTATCTGGTATAATTCCCGGGGGGGGGGGGGACTAGAAAAATGTCCTTATGAAAAAGGAAATTAATGACTAGGAGTTGTTAGCATTTTGCCATTCTACACAAAATTCCTATCAGAAATTACTGTCTTATTTTTATAAGTACTTATTTTTATAGAAATATTCCAGACCAGAAGCACAGGAGAAAAAATTTAACTTGTTCAGGAACTTTTAATTTAAAGAGAATGTGCCAATATGAGAGAAACAACTTTCAAACTGAAAAATGCCAAGAGAAACTGAAAACTATTTATGCAAATAACTAATACTAATCAGCTTGATTTAATTAAAGTAAAGACATAAGACACTTAGGACCAATTTGCATATACAGTCAGTGTCCAAAATAGTTGTACCCAGGCATTATCCATATAGTTGCAGCTTTTTAGTGACACTAATATGAACTCTTCAACAAAGAAGGCTTGCAGTAGTTAAAACTGTAAGTTATATGGGGAAATGTGCTCACCACATAGAATTGCCTCATTCTCCTTAGGCTCTCAATCTAGCTTTCTATAGGCTGCACATGTGAACAGGGCCATTTGAGACTCCCCTAAATGTCTCTGTCACTTCTATAGAAGATGGAGTTGGGCATGGGTGAAACAAAACCAGACAATTCACTGTGATATTTAGGACAAGCTACTATTGAGCTTAATGGAACTGGATTTTCTTACTGCTTTTCCAATCCTTTCAAAATTATATAAAGGCCTTTTCACATGATAGTAGCTTACAGGCCTATAATTGAAATCCTGAAATTATCTGTTCAATGAAGACACATATTGTCCACATATAATGAAGGAAAAAGACCATCCTGTTTCAGGAGAAAAAATATGGATATTAGCTGTCCCTATTTCCTTACAAAGTGAAATACATCAAAAACAAGAAGTGCAGGAAAGATTTACAGGAGAGGAAAGAAACAAAGAACAGGAAAGCTGAAAACAATTCATAAAACAAGTAATAGGGTAGCCCCTACTAACTAGTTATTCTTGGATGGATATCGTCATGGTAGTGCAGGACTTTAGGCTTTTGGTTCTGAGATATTCAAAATCATCTCAGAAGAAGGCAATGCACAACACTACTGTTTCCAGAAACAATTACATGAGTGAATACTGTATGTCCATGTAATCATAAGGAGTTGAGCTACACTTGCCCTCTACAGGATGCTATGTAAGCTCTCCTGTGTTGGAGATCCATAGCACAGGATTCAAATAAATAATTAACATAAAAATCTTAAATATACAATGAACTAATAAAGCAGTTTAATCCAAAAAATGTAACATCTCTTTAAAAATAAGAGACTAGTGGCATGTGCAATCATATTCCATATGATAATTTTAATTGCAGTGAATGGCATATTCCCCATGCAAAAGTATTTCTTTTGTCCCATCAAAAAGGTGAAACTCAGGAAAGATTATGTGTGGATTGTGTTCAAAGAAACAGAATATTCTTATCTTGTGAAAAGGCCCATAGAGATACAGTTATATGCAGAGGTTTAAGCATCATGCTCAAATTGTATCACTCCTTAAAGCTGACACAACTCTCCATGGAACAAAATTAAAAATGACATATCTTGAATGTATACTTGCTATTTAAAATAGAACAGTGAATATGACAGGTACAGAAGTTTGGGTGTCTTTCCAGACATTTTTTGTAACCTGCCTTTGGCAGAAATAACAGCTTTCAAATATTTCTGGTAGCCGAACGTAATATGTACAGTGACACCTTAGCATTCAATTGCTTCAAAACTTGTTGAATTTGGTTTTCGACGAATTTTGAAGCAGAAATCTTGACCCATCACTCATCTTTCTCCCAGTAGTCAAAGCACAAGGAAGAACCTGCTGATGCCAGGTGCCTCATGACTCACTATTTCTTCCAGATGAAATTGTGGGTCACATGATAAGTCACACGGCTTTTCAGTATTCATCGGTTTTAGTATTCATTGGATCTTTCAGAGTAAATTATCAACGAGTACCAAGGTACCACTATATAGCGTTTTATAAGTAAAAATAGGTTGGATAAGTTAGCACGACAATGTACCAAAACATACTTTCAGTCCATTAAGGGAGGCCAGTCAAGAACTAGGCACTGCAGGAATTCTAGGATGCTACTTATTATTGTAAAGGACATAATCCTGAAATCCAGCCAGAATTACTTTCTGCCTCTTTTATACCAAGCAGATTCAAGATAGGGTTGAATTTCCTTCCCAAACTTTCTCCTTTCCCAGAGTTCAGTTTTGTCTTATTTTTCCTTAACTGCTCCTGCATGTCTTCTTCAAGGTTATCTATGCATTTATCTATATGAAAGCAACCAAGAAGCAGTCACAGGAAAGGAAGAAAAATAATTTATATACTATACTATGTCTTTAGTAAAAATCTTTGGGCCAATCTCAAACATGCAACCCATGTAAGAGACCTAAGAACATTTTTGAGCTAGAGAAGTTATGTAAGGAAGAGTGAGAAGAAAGGAACCCTGACACGTAAAGCATTAACAGAGAGAGTATTAGCTGACTACACACATTTGAAAACTTACAGGAAGAGTGTAGCAAGTTTTGCATTTGCCATATTCACTTTTTTCATTCTGAATTAGTAAACAAGTATCCATAAATAGTACAGATACATTCAATTTCACAGAAAAATGTCATTTACTTCTTACAGTAGAGAGTTACATGCATCAATTTCTGTTCCCTTGGGGATTCAGCAAATTGTACAGTTTCACCAGGTTACCTAAACTTTTGCATACAACTGTTGTCAAGCTAGAACAGAGATTTAAAACAAGAAACAGATCAAAGGAAAGCCATCTGCTAGTACTTCTCTCCAAATCTCCTCTCGCTCAAGTTATTTTCCAAATAATGTTTCTCTATATGAAAATTTAAAAGTATCTTCTATCCTACCTCTTATGGTTTGCCCTGTCATGCTGAATTTGCTTTTCCCAGCAGCACCTCCAAAATGACAAAAAGGATGATGCTACTAGCAGAATTACCAGATCTGCACTTTGAGGAACAGAGAGAATGTCAACATAGAGGTAAAGAGACACTAAAGCAGTGTTTCTCAACCTTGGTAGCTTGAAGATGGGTGGACTTCAACTCCCAGAATCCCTGGGAGTTGAAGTCCACCCATCTTCAAGCTATCAAGGTTGAGAAACACTGCACTAAAGGATAGTGAAACATAATCTAATCTCCTGGACTCATAATGAATTTATTTACAATGCCCAATCTCTTAAAATACAGTTAAGTATTTAGGAACTATTACATACAAACCAGCCAATCTTCCCAACGTACAAGGCCAACTCCACTTGCTTTTGTGAAGTTCTGTTAAATTATATGGGGGTAGATTTTAAAAATAATAGTTTAAACAAAATCAGCAATCTTGAAAAAAGAAGCCGTGCAACAAATTGCTATTATCATTTTCCATTGCAGAGAAACACAAATGAAAGCAGTAGATTTTTTGATGTATGCAATGAAATTTCTTGCACTATGTATACTTATAAAATATACATAGAAAGGGGAAAACAGCAAAAAGCATTTTGCACTAGTTCTGTGTCTCAGTAAGGACACACTTGCATGAACTAAAAAGAATATGCTCACATAAGACTTCTCTCACCTTATACACATTGGTATATAAAAATATATTTAAATGACAAGCACCAACTTAGCACAGTTGTACCATTTGAAGCATTATCAATTCATCTTGTCCCACTCAGTTCAGTCATCTATAGAATCATAATAACTTTCAGTTAATTGTAGGGGTAGCATCAAATTAAATAATAATGTCTGATTTAGAAGAGAATTATAAAAAGGCCCGTACAAGAAGACATAAAATCAGTGACAATTTTATAGCAATGAGTACCAATCATGCGTGCCTATGGTTCCATAACAATACAAAATATTTTATTAAGGTTCTAGGGGGGGAAAAAACCTCTCAGTAAAGCAAAAGTAATTCTAGAATAATTAACCCTATTATTAAAAGGTCAAATTCAATTCACAGGATACACAAAAGAGCTTTAAGTGATGTTTTAAAAAACAAAAAAAAAGTTAACTGTCAAATATTAGCACATAAATTATTGTCTACAATGCATATTGTCTAAAATCTAAAACCAAAATAAGAATTAGAGAGATTTACTAGACAAAAAAAACCCTATCAATGTCTGTATTGATTTCTTCCTGTACAGACCAACTTTGACTATTCTGAAGAAAAAACAGCCTTAACTGCCGACCACTTTCATCATTAATGGCAAAACTGTGCAAACTGATTCAAATCAAGAAGAGTATTTCTTAGGTACAGGTTATGCATGCGGGCAGATTGTCCGATTAGGTGCAATGCTTTACTTACAACACAGGATCTCCACCACTGCAGCCTTG